CCTGAGCATAGAAAACCTCAAAGCTCATCCCTACAGTGATACACTTCCTCTGACAAGGCCATACTTACTCCAACAAAGGCATACCTCCTAATGAGCTTATGGCGGCCAATTACGTTCAAACTACCACACAGCTGAACTAAGTTACCATTCTCTGGAGTTTGGCCATGGGAGAATTTAATAAGACCATATAAGGTTCCTTGTAAACTGGCGAAAGCAGGTTGTGTGAAGGACATTCTCCGTTGGACTTTTGGAGAGCCAGGATCTCAACTGAACAAAGGATTGGAATCTTGCTAAGGCGGGGACAGAATGTTGTTCTGTGACATTTCTAACTATCTTTCTTCTCAGGTGTTTGAGAGAATGGAAATGGAAAAATACCCCCTCCCCCTTTTTCAGGACACTCGAGACTCATTGGGTGTCATACTTAAGAATCTAGGAGGAGTTCCTTGGTGTTTTAAATTATAATCTCTACCAACTGTCCATCTGCTGGGATAAGACAGTTTCTTGTTGACTTCGTGGCTCCCATTCAAAGCACATGATCCGTTTTCCCTGCTAAGGATTGTCTGTTTTGTAGCATATATTTAAATCCCAACCTCTGGGGTCTCCAAGGCCTCTTTGCCAAGAGGAGAGGAGATTCAGCATTTCCTTATCCTGGAGAGCAAGGGTCTCTCTTTAGCCATTTAACCTCGTGGCCTTAGGTTTCCCAGCTTTGGTTGATGAACATACGGAAAGTATGCCATCTTCAGACAGGCCTTTAATAAAAAAACAAAACAAAGCAAAACAAATGCATTTCAAAATTAATCCTGATATTGTTATGACTCAGGTGCCTTAACAATGAAAACCCTTAGCAAAAAACATTGGTAATTATTTTGAAAGCACATAAACTCTGTTTTTTTTTTTTTAAAGCCAGTTCTTATAAATGTTACTAGGAACAGGTCAGTATCTTAAGAGAACTTCATTGTTTTAATTTGTTTTCATCACAAGTTTTGTTCTTTGAGAATCTATGCATGTTTACAGTGAAATGTGCTCCTGTCTACCTCCTAGCATCCTCCCTCCACCTCTCTCTCAGTAAGTTCAGTTAGTACTGTCCATACGTGTATGGATGTGAGATCATCCACTAGGGCATGGGAAACCTACCAGTGGCCATGCCCTCAGAGAAGAATGACTGTCTATTCCCCAGGAACTGTTAACTGCCAGGAGTCACTTAGTTCACGGTGGGTGCTGGAGAGCCCCTCTCCCACCTATGCCAGCATTTCTGTTGGCTCGCTTTTGTGTGGGTCTTGTACTGCTACCATGGATGATGGGAGTTGCTGAGAGCAATAGCTTCTCACTGAGTTCCTCCTCGGTGCCTTCTTTCTGTCTCCTCTTGCTCAATGTTCCTGAAACCTTGGTATGGGGTTTGGGGGTAGTTCCCGAAGATGGTTCATTTAGGGCTAAGCTTCGTAGTTTCTAATGCTCAGCCTTATGGCCGGTTAACCTCATTGTTTGAAGTGGAGGACTGCATTTTAGTTTCATAACAGTGCTGAAGTTTGACCTTTGGAATTCAAACAGCGCAATTATTATACACCTTTTGTAAACTCCCCGTGACTCACTGGGATCTTCTATTATGTGGCTAAGAATTTTGCCTTGTTTTTGTTTCTCAGCTTTCTCATTTTGGAAATATCTAATAATTTTACTTTATAGCAAAACCTTACTTTACCATGAAAAAAAATTTTCTTATGCGAAAAACAACAAACGAAAACAAAACAAAAAAGAAAAGAAAAAAAGCCTCTCTTTACTTTCCTTCTTACTTCTTATTGGCCCTATTCAGTAAAAGAATTGAATCTAATTTATATTATGATATAATGTAACAGGTTAAGATTGTTTGGTTACATCTTAAACTCCAGGGTTTTATTTGCTATCAGCCTTAGGTAGACTTTATGATTGCTTTTTTTTTTTTTTAAAGGCTCTTTACCAAACTGTCTTTCTTGGTCTTATAAGGATCTAAGTTTTAGAACGTTACGTTTCATGAGAAATGGCCCAGATAAAAAGACTTTCAAAGAGTCAAAGTCTTTATATGTTCTCCTTGTAACTGTAGCTTGGGCAACAAGGACACGTGCTTTCCAGAGGACCTGGAGGAGGCAGCAAACAGTTGTTCTTCCTTTTATACTATCCTCTACTCAGAGTTTCAACAGAAAACAAATGACAAAAGCAACAAAAGCAAGCCGTTCCTGTCTGAGATTGTTATAGGGTCAGTATTGTAAAAGAAAATATGTTGTTTCATTTTGAGGGTTTAGGGATCCAATTTAGAGAAGGACACCCCCACCCCCGCCGTCGCCCTGGTGTGTATGTGTGTTATTCTCCAGAAACTGCCTGCATTGTCTCCGTTTAATACTATTTATTAGTCTTTTTGATATGGGTCCCTCATTGATGCGAAACTTGTCGAGTTGGCTGGGCTGGCAGGATCGTGAGCCTCAGGGGTGTGCCAGTTTGTGCCTCTTCCTGGGATCCTAAGGGTAAGCCGCCACTCCAACTTTTTCCAGATTTATTTACTTTTATACTAGGTATTTCAGTGTCTGGTCTACAAGAGCATGCAGTGCCCGTGGAGGCCAGAAAGGATGTCAGATCCCCAGAACCGGAGTGACTGATGATTGTGAACTGCCACGTGGGTACTGAGAACAAAACCCCTGCTCTCTGCGAGAGCCACGGTGCTCTTAATCACTGAGCCATTGCTCCAACCTCAAACACCTGCCTTCTTCATGTGGCTTTTGAGGATCGAATTTAGATCTTTGGGCTTGCAAGGCAAATGCTTTGCCAAGTAGGTTATCTCCTCAGGCCACATTTACAGCAGTTTGTCGAGACTACTTCCCAAAGGCAAGTTGGTGGCGATGGACAGTGTGTGACCCACTGTGGGTCTCCTTGTGCGCTGGCTGAAGGCATCCCCAGTGGGCAATAAACCTCTCATTCATCCTCCATAGAACAGAGGCAATGCCCTATGCTGGGGAATCCCCCGAGAGGAGAGGGCCTCATGTCTGTGAATGTGAAACCCGTTCGCTGTCTGGTGCCACCCGCAGCACCACTGGACCCAAATGTCTGGCAGGTTATGCCAGACTGACCCTGAGGTCACAAACGGAAACATGACCCCAGATTGGGTGTGAGAACAAGGAAAGACGTGCTGTCTAGGAAGAAGCAAAATTGCTGCCACCATTAAGTTTCTCAAATCAGGCTGCCACACTCTAGACATGTATGCTCTGCTCGCTCCTGCTGAGGAACTGCAGCCACAGAAGTGTGAGTGAGGAGTGGGAAGCATCGCTTCTCAGACAAACACCAGCAAAGTCAAGGGAGGTGAGGAGCGAGCTTCCCATTCACAGCTCACTGAGGACCCCCAAGGCAGGAGAAACGGACAGGCAATGAAATACCCACACTGTGAGCTGCAGCAGGCCGGCAGAGGGATGTTGACTGATATCACCACCTCCCATCTCATAGAGAGCTGTCTGACTAAGGCTGCGGTGTGACCCCATCTGCATGCACTAAACTGAAGTATTGGTGGGAATTTACCCGTGGCTGCTTCCGCTGCCCCAACAGCCCTTTGTTTTCAGGCTCTGTGCAGTCCCGTCCATTTTCAACTCTACGAGGTGTGTGGAGGAAAAAGGAAGTCCCTTGTCATCATTCCAGTCAGACCTTGGTGGCCTCTGCTGGGGAGGCAGGAGCCCAGGGAAGAACTGGGGGCCTGGGGAAAGTACTGGCTACGTGGGCACCATTTGGAAGGCCCATGGAGGAGGAGATATCGCCCCCCCCCTTACCTTACTACGGTTGTGTGGATTGAGACTAAGCAAGGAATTGAATCTCTCTTTGTGCTGCTGAGCCAAAGTCCTTAGAAACCAACTTGTCAGCAACAGTGAGCACCACTTTGGAAGTCTTTGCCAGCTTTTGCTTTGCCTCCTTTGGTGCTAGAAAAGCAGAAGGCTAGAAACACGTGACCATGTGCCTGTCCTTCAAAATGGCAGTAAGAGCAGCCCCGTTCACTTGGTTCAGTACAGTGCCCATGCCCTTGTTTTGCTCTGGGGCTTTTGGGTGAACCCATCATGGCTGGAGTAGGCCGGAAAGGAGGTTATGTATACACTCTGTTCCTATCCCCACCCCTCACCCCTTACCCCGGTGCTCAACGGCCTCCAGGCACGTTGCTGGTTCTCTCCCCACCCCTCAGTTTGAGCCAGGGTTTGCCATCGGCTCTGTAGGAATGGTGGTGAGGAGAAGGGGCTCAGGGGGAGTCCAGGCACCAAGGAAAGGTGAGAGTAGCTCTTGAGTTCCCTGCCTCACGACCTTGAGCAATGATGAACTGTGGTAGTAGAAGGGGAGGCAGATTTTCCTGGGTAGAGAAGCTGCTCCCTACAGCAGGGAAGGGGACTCAAAACTGTCTGTCACCCTGACCTTCTTGGCTGGGTACCTTAATACCCAGTTTATGAGCCCAAGTGGCTCATGACCGTATGGACACTAGAGACTGAGTTGAAAGGCTTCAGCTTGCCTGAACTGATTGAGTATCGGGACTGCAAGTGGTGAGAGTTATGGTGGGCGAGCACAACCCCAGTGGAACCTGCCACAGAGAGAAAAACCTCACCCAAAGTTACAAGAGGATAAAGAACCAGGAAGTGAGAGGAGCAAGGGCTGTGGCCAGCCATTATTAAAGACTGTCGTCAGCCATTACCTTGAGAAGCTGGACCTTCTAAAATTTACAGCTTCCAGGGCTGGCGAGATGGCTCACTACTTAAGAATGCTTCCTGCTTTTGTAGAGGAACTAAGTTCAGTCCACAGGGCCCAGGGTGGGTATCACAACCACCTATGAACCTAGCTCGAGGGGGTCTAATGCCCTCTTCTGGCCTCCATGCGAGTGCGCACTCACAGATTAATAAAATAAGAACATGAAGAGATGAAAATGAAATCAAATTTACAGCTCCTAAACTGCAATTTAAACTCACAGCTCTTGAGCTAAATTTGCAAGTTTTGAGGTCAGGTCCTGCACTCACTGCTTATTCAGAATTCATCAGGATCTGGTTCTTCTGGTTGGCAGATGTTTCCTTCTGATGAAGCTGAGTGTGCTGGTTAGGTGACCTAGAGAGGCAGAACCTTAATTGATGGATTGTTCAGTCAGTTGACTTTTGGGCAAGTCTGTTGAGTATTCTCTTGATTAATGATTGATGTGGGAGGGCTCAGGTCACCTTCGGTGGTGTCAATCATGGGCCTGGGTTATATGCGAAAGCAGGCTGTACAAGCCACGGGAGCAAGCCAGGAAGTAGCATGACTCCATAGTCTCTGCTTCAGTTCCTGCCCTGACTTCTCAGTGAGTTGTAAGCTGTAAGGTGAAATAGTCCCTTCCTTCCCAACTTGCTTTTTGTGATGGTCTTTATCACACCAACAGAAAGCAAGCTAGGACACTCATGACTTCTGCTGGTGTAGACCTCATTGGGGAACTGACCGTGCCAGTGGCCTCCTTTTCCTATTTAGAGAAGTTGGCTTACTCTGAATCTTTATCATCATATGTGATAACCTTTGAGAGTTGTTTCTCTTGAGACTAGAAATTTGTGGAAGGCACCATAGGTCCTTAAAACTTAAGATTCCACATATCTACATGAGACATAGTGACCACTACAGGTTCAGGCCCCAAATGGACTAGGCCTAATTATTAAAGGGGTGGGAAGGGTAGGAATTTGGTTTTTGTTTTTGACTGATTATTTTTTTTCCTGTGGACAGTGGTTAATACAGAAAATGACAACTGATCTATAGGTAATAAGTGATTATGGGACATGAGGAAATGAGGAAATTGAGCTGGAATTGGCTTGGACGCTTTCTCCCTGCTGGCTAACTTTCATAGAGCTGATAGGTGCTATGCGGGTTCCTGGGGCAACAGGGCAGGTTACAAAAATGTCCTGCCGAGCCATAAACCATGTTGGCTACAGCAATGACCACCCTGGCAAGATGTGTTCCCATTAGGCAATAGAATCATGAATGTTATAGGGGTAATCAATTGCTTTCTGATTGGATTTAGGGCCCACTCCAAAGGAGATAACTGTTTCCTTTCTTTTCTTTTTGCTTTTTTAAAATATAAACTTGATCAAGAACCTGTGGCTGTGATTATGGAGCCCAGGATCCTAAAGAGAACATGTGTATCACCCCTACCTCTTCAAGGCTCAGTGACCATCTTGGAAGAGAGGGTAGGTAGAACGTAAGAGCCAGAGGTCAGGAGAACGTAAGAGCCAGAGGTCAGGGAGAAGTGCCGCAGAGGAATGTCTTCTAGGCATGACACCGCCACCACATCCATGCACTCACTGCAGCGGCGGTCACTTGCACCAGACTGGGCCTGTCAGCATTTCATCATAGGAGGGGAAAGGTGCTAGCCTTCCTTGAGGCACCACTGACAGCTCGTGCTGACTGGAGAAAAGTGTGCCTTTCTTGAGAGTTGTACCCAGCAATACGCCCTCCATGCTCTAGTAAACAGCCTCCTGTCCGTCCTCATGCAGGCTACTCTAACTCAATTCAGTGGGTCGCACATGAAAAGAGATGTGAAAACAGAAGGGGATCTTGTTGAGAAGAAGAAAGGTTTCCCTGGAAGAAGAAAGAGGAATGAGCCAGGGTAACTGGGGTGAGAAGGATTAAAATCTCTTATATACATGTATGAAACGGTCTGGAGGATTCACGAAGTTCCTCCCAATGGGCTATATATACCAGCGGTAACTGACGGTGGGGGAGGAGACTCTCCAACCCCTGACACAGTCCCTAGCAAGTTGAGCAGGGGGTTCTGGTGACACAGCTTCTGTAGTTTCTCACTCGTTCTGGGCTCTTTAGCAGCTGCCTTTGAGTTATCCATGCTCCTGTAAGCCACCCCTCCCTCTTAATCCTGTGAGTTACCCTAGTAAGCTCACGGGAACCATTAAACAAGATTTGATAGACTTGCTCTTTGGTCTGCAACCAGTGCCCTATTCGGAGTAAACAGATCCTGCCCATGTGTCTCTAGTAAAAGTCACGCAACAGAAATACCCTAGAGAGTAGAAGAAAATGATCATACGTTTCAAAACGCTGATAAGATGATTGGCGATTAGGTGACAAGATCTTGAATAACTCTTTACCTTACTTCTCCATATCTTAAGTATCATGGTTATATATTTTATTCTCTGTACTTTTGAATTGCTTTAAAAATCTAGTGACACCATTTAAGTCCTGCTAGGGAACGGCTGGGAAGAATGCAGTTTCACGTAACATTTAGAAGTATAGCAATTCAGACATGTTTATTGGTCCGTGACTCATATTTAGTGGCTAAACATAATGAATACCATAACAGATTGCCTTCCAGTATTACAAACAGTAAGCTCCTAATCCACTGTCAGAACTGAAGATGCCATCCAAAGTTCACAGAAATGTAGATCTAGGCACTGAGAAGAAAGAGAGCGAAAAGGAGGTGAAGTCTACAGGCCCCGATTCTTACTTAAGATTTGCCCCTGCTGACTGTGGAGTTTTACTTCAAGTCACATAGTATGACTAGGCCTTCTGTAGCGCCTTGATTTGTCATGCAATCAAAACAAAATAAAGAACCTGGCAAACAACCACAATCAGAGGGCCTGAAGGTGATAGCAGAAGCAATTTTGGTTTGGAGACCAATGTGAAGGGCTTTGTTTGGGTTCTTCAAGGACAGGAAGGTGCTGTCTTTGGGTCTGGCCCTTCACATTGCTGAGGCCTGCATAGTTTCAGGTTCTGGCTTCATTGCTTTCTAAACACTCTAGCCTGCTGTTTGGTTCCACTGCTGAAGTCCATCACTCGGGCTGTTTTGAGTTTGCTGGGACCCTTCTTGCCTCAGTTGTGCTTGACTTAGGGACCTAACATGCCAGAGGCTCAGTGTCCATCAAAAAGCCAACCCAAGACAGAGGTCCTTGAGTTCACACTCTCGTGCCAGTGAAGATGCGGTTATGTAATGCTTTAGTAAGCTGTATTAACAAAAAGTAAGGAATAAAGAAAGAGAGATATTCCTTAGAATAGGAAGGGTTCCCAAGAGGGGCAAAAAGTAAACCATCAAGACTCTTTGTGATTTTTTACAGGGTCATGTCAAAATCTGGTCCAAGGTTGGAGTAATTGCTTTAGGATTGCTTAGTTTTCTGGGCTCTCATGACACAGTCAGTGAAGGCTCACATGCTCTAAGCACGCCCCTCTGGCTGAACCTGGGGAAATTATTATGAGGTCTGTCTATAACACACAATCGGGGTGGCTAAAGCCTTCTCCATCTGTCTCTGACTTCAGAGCTTTTGGCTTTCGACCTTTACCAGGAGCCATTCGTCACTAGTTGGTGTTGCTACCTCTCATCTTGAAGGTGTCTCAATGCTACTTCTGACAATGAAGGTGTCTCACTTGCTGCTAATTATACACAAAACTCTTTTTTCTTCATAGTTACCAAGAATCAGTTCCAGGTCTTCTGCATTATCTTCTCGTCTCCAGAGTGGCCTGAAATAGTGGACAGGACTTTCTCGACACCTCTCTTCCCTTATCTGCTACACTTACCTGCATCACGCCACAGTCTACGGAAGAACAGTACTGTCCTATGTGTTCTTCAAAGGCTTGAGGGAAGGAGACAGGTGGCCTCTGTCGCGGGCCCAGAGCTCCGTCCTTCCTTTATCTATTCAGCTTGGCTATCGCATCCCCAGCCGTGCGGCCTCTTGGTTATCATCTTCATTGCTTCAGGCTTCGCCGTTTTAATTATTAATCTGCCTTTTAATCCCAGAATGAATTCTACTACAACAATTTGCAGTTTTACCAAGGGCCGTTTCCCCTTACTACCTACAGAGAGCTGACTCCTGCCTTGGTTTGATGATTTCGGGTTCACAGAAGACAATTCAGGTAGCCTTCCTGCAGTTGGGATGGCCCCGCTGGTCCTCTCTGGCTACGAGCAGCCCTTGACAGTGTTTCCTCTGATGGGAGATGAGAGGGTGCTTAAAAAGCACTGGGAGACAGCCTTGATGATGACCACCACCTCTCCTGTTAATTAATTATTGTAAGTGTGCCAAGGCAGCTGCGTACAGTCTCCTTTCAAACAGGAGTCATGCCAGTCAATGGCGGCCCAGACATTTGGTTGGTTTTCTGTCCTACCCGTGCCTTTGTAGATGTGTGCCTTGCCTTGTCCAAAAAGTAAGGTGGATTTTAGATTTGTCTGTGTTGATTTCCTAGTGTTACGTTTGGCCTATGACTCCATCCTTTTGGAATTCTGATTTGATTACTCAGGGACTTGGATGTTTTTGTTCGGTGACTTTGCCATTATGCATCCGGTTCCACAGAATGCACAAAGCTTAGCAGGGCTGCCTGTGTGTTTTAAGAATCAGTGCAGTCCTCCCCATCTCCTGCCTTTGCTTCTGCTTTGAGAAACTATCCCTTCTTCCTCCTTGGCCTCAGTACTCTACCATCTGGTTTCTTTAAATTGAACTTAAACCTTATAACTCTGCAAACATCTGTTTCCTGTTGCTGTAACAGAATACCTGAGGCTAGGCACTTGAGACAAAAGACGTCTTGCTCTGGAGGCTTCCAGTTCCAAAGGCTTGACTCTGACTGGGTTGATGGGCCCTTGACTGTGTCACATGATGGATGACATCATCATGGTGGTTGCACCTGTGTGAGGGAGAGATCACAAGGGGGAGAAAGGAAATCCGGGACGGGAGGGGCCAGATTTGCTCTTTCCTAATAACTCTCATTTGGGAACTAAAAGCATCACCCTGTTTTGAGGATGATGAGTCAACCACCTTGCATTAAATTCCACCTCTTAAAGATCCTGTCACTCCCCGCCCCCCACTTACTTCTTTAAATTGCTACCCTGGGGCAACCAGGCTTCTGATGCAGGCACCTTCAGAGATTAATTACATCAAAACCATAGCACTTTGAGACAATGTCTCTTCTCACTTATTCTCTCTTTCTGTGACCCTTGGCTCTGGACAACTGAAGGGTGCCCTGAGCATGTATGTCCCGCTCGGCTGCTTCCTTTCTGGGAGGAGAGCGTCTGCTGCGCATGCGAGAGTCAGGAAGGGATCGATTGTAGAACTTGCTAGGCTCCACTCTCCCAGGTGACCCATTTATGGA